TATATATATATATATATAATCATATAATTCTCTCACTTCTTCATGCCATATCTTCAAACTGTTTATGTTAATATAATCCTGAATGTATTGAAAAGATTTTCTGTATCCGTCCATAATTGAGGATAAATGATTCAGTTTTTGCAAAAGAGATGTCTAAAAAAATATTTGTAACAATTATTAGGTATATAATCTTAGGAAAAAAATTTCTCATTTATTTACCTTGGACTTTTGATCAAAATTAAGGCCATTCTGTAAAGCCAAAGTAACTTTCTTGACGAGCTCTTGACGTATACCATCTTCTAAGAGACGATGTGAATCAACTCTCAAAACTCCTAAAGAAACACTTCTTAATGAGAGAACACCCTTTGTGAAAACCGATACAGCATATGTTAATTTTGCCATCTATAAAAATAATAATATAACAATGTTGCTTTCTTTTAAATAAACACAATATCATAATAAGAATTATTTCTAATAGTGTACCTGTAGTCTTTCAGCCAGTTGTGCATAATCTTTAAGTTTATCTTTGGGTAATTTAGTTGGGATCTCTTTAAATGAATTCGTTTCAAGATGCACTATCTCTGCCAACAAACCGAACACAGTTTCGGGTATAATTTGCAAAACACGCCTTGCATATCCCTCCAGTTCTCTGCTATAATACTGGGACACGGAAGACAAGTCCGCACTTCGTGCTTGGTTTACCCTCAGCAATGGAGTTTCCAATGCTGATGCCATCTAAAAATAATATAATGTAAGTAAAGTATATAATGTGCGTACCTCATATAATTTTAATTGCTTGTGTATTTACTTTAAGGAAAAGTGCTTTTAGTTTGATAACGGTTGGCGGATTTCCCTTTATGCTCTCCTGCATTACATCGATAAAAGATTCCATAATGTTCCATGCATAGCAACAATCGGTTACGATATTTAAATTTATCATAATGTCTTCAGATATGCTGCCTGTACGCAACATATTGTGTAAAGTCTCGCGTGTATCAGCGAGATATTGTGAAATGTGTAGATTATTTTCTAATTGATGAAATTCTGGGGAAAAAAATATCATAAGATATTATAGTACAATACAAATGTTTATATGGATTTACTTTAGATAGAAAAAATTAATGTAATTGATTCTTTACCCTGAACTTGTTCCAATGCTTGCAGTAATTGCACTATCTTTCGCCCATCTTCTTGCTTTAATGAATCAATGTGTTTACTTATTTCCATGAACCATGTATAAAGATTTTGGTTTTTATCAATACCATCTAGAGGTTTGGCGCCACCAAAAATTTGTGCAAGATCAGTTATACGTTCGACGCATATTCCTTTGTCTTTTAACCATTTTGTTTCTTTTCCAAGCAAAAGCTAATGTAGTAAGTAAAAAAAAATTTATATTAATTACAAACAAATATATAGACGTTGCAATGAAAAAAAACTGATCTTAAACATACATCTTTATACATCTGTTTAACATCCTGTTCAATTTGAGCAGTGCTTAATAATAAACGAAGACATTTTACTGTGGTATATTTGCTTTCCATCACGACCAACTGACGTAAAGTACGCAAACGTTTTGAATCCTCTAATATTATAGTGGGCGTAGCGGTATGCAGAAGAATCCAATGCAACGTAACATTGCATTCTCTTACTAATTTGACTAAAGAACCTGTCGCATTTTCATCCAATGTGCCTGCCAATTGTACCTCGTCGGTTTCTTGCGTTAATTTCTGGAATATTTTCTCTATGTAAAATTGTAGTTTTTTTTTTTTTAGTTAAAGAGTTAGTTAAAGACTTAGTTTTTAGTTAAAGAGATTAGTTAAAGAGACTCCATGAAGAATTCTTACACTTACATTCATTTTTGCTCCATATTTTTGGGCAATCCCTTTCACATTAGAATTCTCAAGTGTATTATTCAAGGCTGTTCGTGCAGCTTTATACGGTGACCACCAATCACATAGACTGATTACTATTCCCATATAAATACTAATTACCCAATTATCGGGAAAGAATCTATCTACTATTTCCCTCATAATGGCAGTTTGTGTATGTAGTACAGTTGATTTAAATGACAAAATTATAACTAACATTGATGCCTGTGTGGCCACGGCAGTGCTGCGATGCTCTGGATGCGGGAAAGCAAGAGTCTGATTATAAATCTCATCTGAACGCAATCGACCAATAACCAGATCTATCAAAAAATCTCGTAATGGAACTCTCCTAAAAAAATATATATTTTTTTAAATATTTTGTTATAGTTTCTCTAAAGATTTTAGTTGTATTTTAAAATCAATTGCATTATCTTTTCTTTTATGTTCCAATTATATTACATACTTGAAATATTCTTCGGGATAATTAGCTGGTCTTTTGGACAGTGTTCTCACATATCCTGTTGAACGGAGTAACATGCAGACGTCATCCACTCTTGTCGAGGAAGATCGTTGAGCATTGTATCGGTAATAGGACACAAGTAATCTTTCACGTATTCGTCCTTCAAAATGGTAATCAACCAGCAACAGCATCACACCATATAAGTATACAGCTTCGCACTAAACGAAAATTTAATTGTTTTATGTTAGTTTATCTGTATACTCAACAATGATTTCTCTGTTAAACAAATTGACATGAACATGTTTACAAAAAAAGAGAAATGTACCATTAATTGTTTTCCCTCCTCATTGAACATAATAGAGTCCACTGACTGATGTATGTAAACTCCATCTCCCAATTCGTCAATGTAAAAATTCAGGTCTGTGACATACTTGTGTATACTCTCAAAAGCCAAATAAAATCTTGTAAGTATGTCTGAAAAATTATTCCGGAGCTCTTCATCAGTTTCTTGGAGTACCTAAAAAAAAAAGATGAAATTTAGATTGTAATGGGATTTGGATATTTGCCTGTTTCTAACAATAATACATTCTCATTAAAATTGCAAAAAAATATTACTGAATCATCTTCTATTTTTTGCTCATAAACACTGGCTGCCTTGAAATATGCAAAGTCAATTATAATAGACCCATATTTCTGTATTAATTGCTTCGAATCCAAGCTGCAAAAATAGCAATAATCAAGTGCAATATTTATATAATATTAGAATTATTAAGATATAATATTAAAGTTTCTATATCTATATAACAATTTTTACAAATTTATATTCATTTAATAAAGTTTACATATTATAATTAAAATCAAAACATCTTTGCAATACATCAGCTGTAATGTAACATAAATATTTATCCTATCAATTAATTAACAAGACATCTTTTTCTCTTAATAAACTGACCTAAAAACCGGCGGTACATAATCCTTCAATCGCATTAGTTCAGCTATGATAGCATTCCCACGGGATACCAGTCGCAACAAGTTTTGCCCGCAGACATTATTGGCCGCTAAAAAGTCGCTCATTTTTTTCATTCAGATGATTTTAACGATCATCTCAAAACGGACAATTGCTCATCAGCCTTTTGACAGAAGTATTTGATCACCCTCTCTCTTCCAGATGGAATCCGTCGTTTACCGTCAGTCGCTCGTTTAGTCTTCCACTAGTTCCACTTCTTGTTTCAGCCGCAATATGTCGAGAGGACGTGCGATGTATTTAACATATGGACGCCTTTTTGTATATATGTACGATTCTACAATTTTCACTAATTTTCACTCGATAGAGTATCGCTTTAAAATTTTTAAAAGTGAGGTCGACCTTGACACTTTGAGCATTGAAGAAATTTGATCGTATTGACCTCCAAAGAAGTTTTGCTGTTAAAGAAGAAAAAGAAGATAGCGTCGTATCTCGCTTGATCTCCCTCGGTGTGTCTGAGAAAGGATACAGATCAATACCTTGGGTTTACGATTATATGGAAGAGCCACACTTCTGTAGGAATATTTATTATGGGATAAATTTTTTGCTTTTTTTTTAAGTAATAAACATTACTTTATAAGATACGTATTTGAGCCTGAAGATCTAATGCAACGCCATATTTGTGGCAGAGCTGAAGTTCTTCCCATCAATGTTTGTAGAAAGTGTCAAAGTTACACCATTCCGCAATTTCTATTGATATCCCAAATCTATTTGAAGATTAGAATTCATTTTGGCTAGCATCAATATCAAGACTATACTTTGCGCCAATATCAAATTACATTATTAGTGGAATTATATGCCAAATTGATTGCTCTTTCCAAATCCGATTTTATTTTATGATAAATGGAGCTATTAAACTCACGACGCTATTATTATCCATGGCGCTATGAAGGATAAAATCAGAAGCAATAAATCCAAGAGCAAAATCGTTCTTTGTGAGTTTGTTTCTCTGTGAGTCAAAGGATGTTTGATAACCACTCAACCATTCTTGATAACTCACGACGACCGAGGCATAAATTAAAAGTCCAGCAGACAAACTAAAATCAAAGTCAGTTGCAGATATATTTTCATGTTTGTAAGTAGTCTTCAGTTTTCCAGTTTTAGAACTGATTTATGGGAAAGTATAGTTGAAAGTATAGCCAACTGTGAGACCATTGAGTAACTTATTGGCAAGAATCATCGCGAAATATTTGGTTCGTCACGTGTCTTCGTTCCTGTGGTACTCTGATAATCGAAGTTCTTGGATTCGAAGAGCCTTTTTGGCAAATGTCGTGAACCAAGGTTTTGTAAGGTTTTACAAAATAAATTCAAGACTCCTGAAGACTGATGCCACGCTCGCTGGTTACCGAGATTTCTCGATGTTGATTTGATCAACTCGGCAACATCTCTTCTACATTTAAAATGGAGGTAAGAGTTCATATTGGTATCCATTTTTATTAATGTAACTTTAATCTCAGTTCAACTTATTCTTCATCTTTTTCTAATTCTTAAAATTAAAAAAAGATGAAGAATCAGTTACCTGAGATTCAAATTAAATTAAATTGGTAGAAACAGGTTAGAACAAAAAAAAATTGAAAAGTTGAACCAGATCAAAATTAATCTTTCATTGATGGAATCAAGTTTATAAAGAACAGATCTATGCCTATTTATATTTCTACCAATATAGTTCAATTTTAATCTTGGTTCAACTATTTAGAACAATTTTTGTATAGGTAAATTTAATTGTAATATAATTTGTTCTCTGTTTATAGTCAAGTGCTAAAGTTCCTTTGCCATTAGAACCCATAAAAGCAAATCAGGTTGAAGACAGACGCCTATGGGTGGGCAATTTAGATTTAAGAATTAATGAGTAAGTATTTATATTATTTTATTATAATATTTCTTTTATAAAAATTTTTGTAACATCTCCTTGGCAAACTTGATATACAAGAGGTTGTTTTGCATTAGAACAGTGATGCACAATCATTTTTAAAGATCATTTTCAGAGGATTATTTTTAAAAATAGGTAAATCTTTTGGGCCCTATGTTTATTTCGTTCGAATTTTTATATACATATATATATATATAAATGATTTTATATTTTTTATTATGAGGTTGTGCATCATTGCATTAGAACATTAAAATTGGAAGAGAAAAACTAATGCTCTTTTTGTCAACCGGTACCAACTCCTGAAACTTGTCCAAAAATACGGCACAATCGAAAAGTTCGACCTGCTGTTTCATCGATCGGGACCTCAAGCCGGTCAACCAAGAGGCTATGCATTTGTTACTTACAAAACGATTCAAGATGCTATAAGGGCGAAAGATGCTTTACATAACTTGAAAGTTGGAGCTAAGAATATTATCGTTAGATGGGCGCACAGTGTCACCGAGGTACAATATATTCATGTGTTATAATATTGTTAAAGTTTAAATCTTAAATTAAAATTTCTATTTTTAATATAACGCATTGTATAATATTTTATGAATTGCTAACTTTATAACTATAAGTATTAATTTTGAATAAGTAACTTCATTTTGAAAAACTTACAAAAAATAATTGTTATTTAGTTGGACATGGATAAACCAAAACCAAAGATTGAGATTCCTGCCTTAGCTGGTGCAAAGAAAGAGGATAAAAAAATCAGGTATAATTTTATCAAATAATAAATGAATCGAATAAACGAATATCGAATAAACAATATTTTAATTGAAATTTTCCTGCAGTCGTGAAACAGCAATTCAAGCGATTGAAGCAAAACTCAAGTTGATGAAAGAATCAGAAGAAGAGTTCGAATTGAATAAACCATTGGAAGGATCGCCAATTATACAACTCTATCAAAAAGTAGAAAATCAAAAACCGTCCACCTCTACGCGTTATCACAGCCGTGGAAGCTGTTATCATCACAACAAGCCATACAGTCGTCATAAGCCAAGAAGATAATTCGCGTAAATTTCATCTACATTTTTATCCCATTTATCAACCATCATTATCATAATAGTTTTATGATGATATTTATATTATTTATGACGCAATGCCTACTTATTTAATATCGTTTATTAAAAATATTTCGTTGTGTGTATAAAGAAATTTTATATGTATTTTCCTGTTGTGAAAACTATCCATCAAAGGAACATAAGAGCAACATGTTTATGTTTCTATTGCCTGTAAAAGTTCCAGTATGTTTCTCGATGTTCCTCATTGTCGCCAAAAATACAAGAAACATTAGAGCTACGACTGTTTCAAATCGTCCGCGATGTAACGCTCTCGATATGTACGTTAACGTACATGTATTTTCGTAATATATGGAAATCTATTTTATAGCAAACATGACATGCTTTGGAATAAAATGCAAAATGTACAAGTTATTTCCATTGTTCATATTTTTGGATATAGACCACATATGTACGTACATGTAATACAATTATAATACAAGTGTAACAAGAATTTTCAACTACAGTTTGTTTAATCTTTATTCTGTAATCGTTCTATTATTATCTTTCTACGCATGTGATCTGGCAATGGTACTATACCAGGACATGGCACTTGTCCTGGGATATGACATATACAACTTCTATCACAACCAACTCCGAAATTTGCTGGATTAGTCTTCTTTTCTTGAGCTATAGCTTCCTCTTTCAATACGTTCTGCGGTTTTCCTACTACTCTCAAGAGATGATCAAGTATATCGTCCTTCGATTTGCTGTCTACATCTATTAATATTGTCTTACCATTCGCTGTAAAATATATAAATCTTTTGTATCGTAATTTTGCAAATTGAAAAAATTCTGCAAAATATCTGCTATAAATTTAATCAGCAAAATGCCAACAGAAATATAACAAACTCTGCTAATAGAATCTAATAATAAATGGATTGTAAAAATTAAATAGAATTTATCAATTTGTAACATTTAGTTTTTGCAATCAATTGTAATCACTCAAAGTTATGACAGACTTTGCCTAGCTTCTATTAACAATTTGCTATCAAGTTATATTTATGGACTCCACTGGCAAAACAAGCATAAAATATATGAATAAAATTTTTTCTCAGAATTTCTATATGAATTGAAATACTTTTTAAAAATATGAAGAAAGACTGATTAAAATGTTTTTATATACGTAAATTCTGAAACATAAAAAATTCTAGAATGTTCTAAAAATTATAAAATTATTCAAAAATGCTGAAATAAAAATTCTGAAATTTACATTCTAAAATTAAAATTCTGAGAAAAATTTTCATCAAGTAATGTCAATCTGCCACAATATTTTGTTCAAATTTACTGATAAAAAATGCTGACATACTGTTCACATTTTTTTTTCACTAGATTCTACTGCCTAATTCTACATTAAATAAATCTTGTTTGAAATTATAATTAAATCGCAATTTTACCGTAGTAACATTTTATGAATGGCGATGGGGTTATGTTTTTAAAGGTAACTATTTGCACATTTGGATTTTTATATTGTAGTTGCGGTAGATGCCAAAACACGAAGTCTCTGTAAGAAAAAATAATCAGAAAAATGGCTCATTAAAATACAAACTGTAGAGCTTTAAGTATTAAGGAAATAGCTTTTACCTTGTACCTCGGTGATGATTGCCATGTGTGTTATAATTAATGGACATTATTTGTATCTTATCCTTTAAAACCAATTTGCCAGCCATTAGATATTTCATTGTTCGCCGCACAGGCTCCTTGCCTATCATAAATGGCATTCTGATTCGATTTTTGTCTAATTCTATCTGCTTTCAATCTGTTTGTTTACTACAGTATTTACCAGATTACTTTAACTCGCGCGATTATCGATCGACAACAAATTAATTTCCTTTTTTCACTTACCGGCTTGAAAATCTCGAAAGTCGAACTGATTCGAAACATATATGTACGCACATCACACGCACGCACATCTGGATTTTCTTCCCCTCTCTATCATTCTTTTTTGACTCCTTCTCTTTACTTACTTGTGTGCCGCGTTATATATATGTATACTGTAGCCGCACGTCAGGTCAGAGCTTCACACAATAAAAGGAACAGAGAACAGTCTACTTGTACATGATTGAGCAACGGAGGCAAGTCCTGTAAAGATTTATCATTTTCTTTCTCACTGTTTATATAAATCTGAATCGCATAGATCGTATAATTACATATAATTATATAAAGCAGGTAATTATATAAAGCAGGTTGCATTTTGTTTTGATTATTCAATATTTCATAGCTTGCATTTCTGATGCAACCTGAGACCATATGGCGAATTATATTGCAAAGTGTTTAACAATATATTACTGTAATTCGCGATTCTAGGATATTACACTGAGTAGCATAAAGGATTTAATGCCTAGAATTATCAAGATGCAATTACAACAGACCGCCAACAATCAAGACAATGATAATGGTTCATCACCCAACAGCTCTGGCACAATGTCTAGTGCACTAAACACGGATCATAGTAACAACATGAACGCAAAACAAATACGGCAGGCATATATCGACTTCTTCAAGAGCAAGGGGCACGAATATGTACATTCGAGCTCGACAATACCCCACGATGATCCAACCTTGCTCTTTACGAACGCTGGGATGAATCAAGTAAGTCTTGATAATTCTTACATTGAATTCATTATTTAGTCTTTTTTGAATTTCAAACAAGCTATGCTAAGTTTATCTTTGTGTCTTAATATATCATTGAATTCCAATGTTGCAGTTTTCTTCTTCAAGACGAGAAACAACCTATGCTTCTTGCCTGATGAAGTAAACTACAATATTAGTCTTTAGTAATATATTAAGACACAGAGGTAACTCGCAAACTATGAACTTCTTTGAAAAAAAATACTTGTGGAAGCTTCAAAAGCAATAACATGTTTTTTTAAGAATTATTTTTAGAAAGCTATTTTTAGAAATAAATATATTTTTTAGACCAAATAATGTTTATTTTGTTCAAATAAAACAGAAAATATGATTTTTCGACTAAGCTGAAGACTGCAAAAAGTTCATAACATTTTAATTGTGAATTATATTTTGTTGCCTTACAAATATATTATTTACGCATTAACAACTATGGAGATTCATGTAACCATTATTTAATTTATTTTTCTCTATCACAACATTGTGTTTCTAATTTTATTTTAAATGTATTTCAGTTTAAGCCGATTTTCTTAGGAACGGTCGATCCCAATAGTGATATGGCAAAATGGATACGGGTTGTCAATAGTCAGAAGTGCATCCGAGCTGGTGGTAAGCATAATGATTTGGATGATGTTGGTAAAGATGTTTATCATCATACGTTCTTTGAGATGATGGGAAATTGGTCTTTTGGCGATTATTTCAAGGTAATTAATTGTTTCTAGAGTCATTAATCATTTTTCAAATTTCTAACTTTAAGATTTAATTTTTTTATAGAATGAGATATGCGCTTGGGCTTGGGAATTTTTAACAGACATGTTGAAACTACCAGCTGATAGATTGTACGTCACATATTTTGGTGGGGATGAGAAAAGCGGATTGGCGCCAGATGATGAGTGCAAGAATCTCTGGCTTTCTCTTGGGTACATAATCATTTTAGAATACAATTATTCTGAATAGTTTATATTGATAAAATTTTATCAATATAAATATTATTTTCAATTTTATATTATATGTGTAATCTTATTTCCTTTATCTTACATCTCATTCTATTTATTGATATATTTTTCGCCATATTTTAATGTTTACTATTAAAAAATTTTGAAGTTGTAAAATATGAATCTACAGAGTACCTGCCTCGCATGTTTTACCAGGCAACATGAAAGACAACTTTTGGGAAATGGGCGAAACTGGACCCTGTGGACCGTGCAGTGAATTGCATTATGATCGTATCGGTGATAGAGAAGCAGCTCATCTTGTAAATATGGACGATCCCGATGTATTAGAAATTTGGAATCTTGTGTTTATTCAATACAACAGGTATTTAAAACTAGATTATAATTCGCGATCCGAAGTCTCACAAACAATCTTAATTGTGTTAATTATGTTTCCAGAGAATTAAATGGTAGTCTTAAATCGTTACCAAAAAAGCATATAGACTGCGGCTTAGGTTTAGAACGACTTGTATCGGTCATTCAAAATAAACGTGCTAATTATGATACTGATCTATTTATGCCTTTGTTTGCTGCAATTGAGGAAGGTACAGATGCTCCTCCTTATCAAGGTAAAGTAGGAGCTGACGATGTTAATGGAATCGATATGGCATATAGAGTTCTGGCTGATCATGTTCGAACTCTCACAATTGCTCTGGCAGATGGAGGAGTGCCCGATAACACTGGTAGAGGGTAAGTGTTTAAACTTTATGTTTTCGGAAAGCATAACTATTGAATAGGCGTTCAATAATTATTGCCTGTGATTGGAAATCTTTAGATCCATGATAAAAATCTAGAAAAATATATTAATAACAATAAGCATTTTTTCAATTATGTTTTCCGAACAATGTAGTTTTTATATCCTTTTTTGCGCTTTTTAATATAATTAAATTTATTTATCTAAATGTAGTTCTCTTTATTTTGATATAGATATGTGCTAAGGAGAATTTTACGACGCGCTGTACGTTATGCAACTGAAAAATTAAACGCTAAGCAAGGCTTTTTTGGATCTCTCGTAAACGTAGTAGTCGATCTTCTCGGTAAATATCATATTGTATTCATTGTTTAATAAAAGAAGTTTTTATATTTTTTTACTATTTACTCTTCTTCTAAAAGCAGTCTTTTGCTGTTGCAGGTGATGTTTTTCCAGAAGTAAGAAAAGATCCACAAAGTATTATCGAGATCATCAATGAGGAAGAGAGTCAATTTCTGAAAACTCTATCGCGGGGTCGCAATTTATTGAATAGAACGATAGCAAAGTTAGAATCAGCTGATACTGTGCCAGGTGATGTCGCGTGGCGTTTATATGACACTTACGGCTTCCCGATAGATCTCACTCAGTTAATGACCGAAG